CGACAGGCTTTGTTCATCACTAGGCTTAGGGGCAATGCTCATCACTAGTTTTAGAAAATGTTCATCACTTCAGGCTTAGGTGATGTTCATTGGCTAGGCTTGTTCATCATGAGAGGCTTAGGCGATGTTCAGCACTAGGGTTTATGGCGTATGTTCATTATTAGGCTTAGTGATGTCTAATATTTCAGGGCTTAGGCGATGTTCATTCCCAGGCTTAGGCGATGTTCATCACTTGTGCTTTGTTCATCACCAGGCTTAGGCAATGTTCATCACTAGGCTTAGGGCTTGGTTCATCACTAGGCTTGCTCATCACTAGGTTTAGTGGGCGATGTTCATCACTAGGCTTAGGGCTTGTCTATCACCAGGCTTTTTTAGGCAAGTAATGTCTATCACTTTAGGCTTGTTCATCACTAGGCTTAGGGCGATGTTCATCACTAGGCTTGTTCATCACTAGGCTTAGGGCGACAAGTTCATCACAGGCTTGTTCATCACTAGGCTTAGGCAATGTTCATCACTAGGCTTAGGCAATGTTCATCACTAGGTTTAGGGCAATGTTCATCACTAGGTTTGTTCACTACTAGGCTGAAAATGTTCATCACTAGGCTTGTTCATCACTAGGTTTAGGGCAATGTTCAATACTAGGCTTGTTCATCACTAAAGCGAAAATGTGTTCATCATTAGGCTTAGGGGTGATGTTCATTACTAGCTTGTTCATCACTAGGCTTAGGGCAATGTTCAATACTAGGGCTTGTTGGATCACCAGGCTTAGGCAATGTTCATCACTAGGCTTAGGCAATGTTCATCACTTAGGCTTAGGGCAATGTTCATCACTAGGCTTAGGCAATGTTCATCACTTGAAGTTTAGGCAATGTCTACTCACTAGGCTGTTCCATCACTAGGCTTAGGCAATGTTCATCACTAGCTTAAAGCAATGTTCATCACTAGGCTTGTTCATCACAAGGCTGTTTCATCACTAGGCTTAGGGCAATGTTCATCACTAGGCTTAGGCAATGTTCATCATCAGGTTTAGGGTGATGTTCATGACTTAGGCTTGTTTCATCATGAGGCTTAGGGCGATGTTCAGCAATTAGTTTTAGTGATGTCTATTACTAGGCTTAGGGGCGGATGTTCATTATTAGGGCCAGGCTTATGTTCATTACTAGGCTTAGGGCGATGTTCATCACTAGGCTTGTTCATCGATTAGGCTTAGGCAATGTCTACTACCAGGCTTAGGCAATGTTCTTATCATTGTAGTTTAGGGTGATGTTCATTACTAGGCTTGTTCTCATCACTAGGCTTAGGCAATGTTCATCAATAGGCTTGTTGTGGATCACTAGGCTTAGGCAATGTTCATCACTTAGGGCTTGTTGATCACCAGGCTTATAGGGCAATGTTCATCACTAGGCTTGTTCATCACTAGGCTTAGGCAAATGTTCCCACTACTAGGCTTAGGCAATGTTCATCACTAGGCTTAGGCAATGTTCATCACTAGGCTTAGGGTGAATGTTCATCACTAGGCTTAGGGTGATGCCCACATTAGGCTTGTTCACTATGGAGGTTTAGGCGATGTTCAGCACTAGTTTAGGCGATGTTCATTACTAGGCTTAGGTGATGTTCATTACTAGTGTTTAGGGCGATGTCTCATCACTAGGCTTAAGTTCTATCACTACAGGGTTTAGCAATGTTCATCACTAGGCTTAGGGCGATGTTCATCACTAGGCTTGCTCATCACTAGGTTTAGGCGATGTTCATCACAGGCTTAGGGCTTCTGTTCATCACTAGGCTTGTTCACTTTACCAGGGGCTTTGTTCATCACTAGGCCAGGGCTTATGTTCATCACTAGGCTTAGGGCGATGTTCATCACTCAGGCTTGTTCATCACTTCAGGTTTAGGCAACACCATCACCAGGCTTAGGGCAATGTTCATCACTAGGTTTAGGGCAATGTTCATCGCCAGGTTTGTCTTTAACACAGGCTTAGGCAAAGGTTCATCACCAGGCTTTGTTCATCGCCAGGCTTAGGCAATGTTCATCACTAGGTTTGTTCATCACTAGGCTTAGGGCAATGTTCACTTGTGGCTTAGGTGATGTTCTATTACTAGGCCAGGTTCATCACTAGGCTTAAAATGTCTATCACTTCAGCTTGTTGATCACTAGGGTCTTGGGGGCAATGTTCACTACTAGGCTTGTTCATCACTAGGCTTTAGGGCAATGTTCAATACTAGGCTTTAGGGCAATGTTCATCACTCAGCTTTAGGGCAATGTTCATCACCAGGCTTGTTCATCACAAGGCTTTTTCATCACTAGGCTTAGGGCAATGTTCATCACTAGGCTTAGGGCAATGTTCATCACTAGGCTTAGGGCAATGTTCATCACTAGGTTTAGGGTGATGTTCATTACTAGGCTTGTTCATCATGAGGCTTAGGGCGATGTTCAGCACTAGGTTTAGGGCGATGTTCATTACTAGGCTTAGGGTGATGTTCATTACTAGGCTTAGGGCGATGTTCATTACTAGGCTTAGGGCGATGTTCATCACTAGGCTTGTTCATCACTAGGTTTAGGGCAATGTTCATCACTAGGCTTAGAGCGATGTTCATCACTAGGCTTGCTCATCACTAGGTTTAGGGCGATGTTCATCACTAGGCTTAGGGCGATGTTCATCACTAGGCTTGTTCATCACTAGGCTTGTTCATCA